ACCGTGGACACGGCGGGGTGGCGGTGGAGCATCCTGGGGGTGCTGCCGCCCGCTGCCGTGGGGTACCCACATCCCGTGGGTGACCACGAGTGTGTCCCCCCCCCCCACTCGGGCTCCTGAGTCCCGTAGGTGCCCGGTCACGAGGGTCTCAGGGTGTGGGAGATGCTGGGGGGTCCAATGTCCCCCCAGTGTCCGCGGGTGTGTTTGTCCCACGCATGTCCGTTCCCACGGGGGGGGGCGCGGTGCCACGAGTGTCCGTGTCTAGTCTCTGGCGCCCCCTGGCGGGCGAGACGCACCACGACAGCGGCTGCCGCGGCCCGCGGGGGACCAGGGCTGGGGGGGGATGTTGTGGACATTAAGAAGGACAAAAGGACATTGTGACATTAAATCCCGGGTGCCGGGGAGGCAGGGACAGAGCGCGCCACGCAGGTCGGGCACACGCGTGAATCGGTGCAAAAACGCAGCAGAGGGGATGACGGGGTGTGAGCCAAAGGGTGACAGCTCCAAGGAACCACTGAAAGAGCTCTGCAGAGTCTTTAATTAGCCACTAATTAACTTTTTGCACTCGGAAGAGGAGGAAGAAACAAAGTCTGGCTGGGAAGGGGGAGGGAAGAGCAAAGCCCACACCAAAGGGCTCGTCCTCTGCCCGGCCCAGGTTCAGACAGGTGAGTTTCCCCATTTAGGAGCCTCCAAAGGGTTGGAAACTGGGATCGAGGAGGCGGTGGGGAAGGTTCATCCCTCTTCTCCCAGTCCCTGGACTCAACGTGGGGACTCCCAGCCTCTAACGCAGCCCCTGGGAGGGACTGTGGGGGTCTGCCCCCCTCCATCCCCTCCCGCCCCAGGAGGGAAGGCAGATGATGCTCCCCTCGCACCCGAGGGAAGGAGCTCAGGGTAACAGAAATGGCTGATAAGCAGAAAACAGTGAAAAATTCCAGCCCTCACAGGCAGCCCTGAACGGAAGCCTCTGTCGCAGCCCATTCCCGAAGGAGGGGGGGAGATGGGGATGGCGTTTCACACCGCTCAAGGGTGCTGCTGCTCTGGCTCAACTCACACAACATCGGGAGCAAGCTCAGTTTGGCTTCCCAGGCCGGTCAGGCAGCGCGAGGCTCCAACTTTCACACCCCGTCCTTACCCCAAGGTAAGGCCTCAGCTGCTACCAGGAGTTGGGCTCACACAGGGAAGCGATTTTCAGGCACGTACTTGCAGCCTTAAGAAGGAGAGACTCACCTTCCTTCCCGGCTGGAACCAACAAACCTCTGACTCCATGTTAAGGCACCAAAGCCTTGTGGTTTTTAGAAACAAGCCAAGTAAGAAGCAGCAGCATCACTACAAACGGCAGCAGTGGCCTCTTCAGCGGCGCAGAAACACAGGCCTGAGAGGCTAAAACCCAGCTGCAAACACAGCCCCCAAGCCAGCGTGGGATGTGGCTGTTCACAGAGAGGGAAAACTTTACCCTTGCACGGCCCCAGTTTCTAAGTTAACAAGGACAACCCTCTGCCTGCTCCAGAGTTAACAGCCCGTAGCTGGCTGTGACATGCCGGGGTTTTACCCTGAGCAGATGGAAAAAGCAGTTCATCCATCACCAAGCCGGGAGGAGGATCCCATCTGCTGCAGAACATCTCTGCCCGGTCACAGACACCTCCGGGCTCCTGGGCCAGGGGCTGCAGCAAAGGAGGAGAGCAAGGCTTTAGTACTGCGCTGCCTTCCCTCCTGTCCCACACACCAAACCATCACATCTTTGAGTTTCTCTGGAAGGAGAGAGCGGGTTGCAAGCCAGCATTTGGGAGGTACATGTGGTTGGTATTCAGAAATGTTGCCACTTGAGGAACTACGTTTGTGCTCCTCGAAGGCCAAACATATGGTAGGAGTTACCACATGATTATTAGACGCGTTTTATTATTTTCCTGCGCTAAGGCTTGAACAAGTGTGATCATATACAGAACACTTCATGTAAAAGAATGGGGTCAGATGGGCCTTTAGCACCAGAAAATGAATGCATGTGATTAGGGGAAGGCATTGGTGGTAGGGGAAAAAAAAAAAAAAAAAAGGGGGAAGAGGAAGGCAGCAGTGCGCTCTGATTAACTACCAGCATTAAGGCAGAGCCATTTCCAGATTAAAAGTTCATGCGTCGACTTTGGTAGTTCAGTGCTCTGTGGCCAAGGTTTGTTCTCAAAAATACGAATCTGCCAAGAAACTTACTGTCAGGATTGAGTTGCAAAATTTGAAGCGCAACAGGCACTCCAGCAGAGGCAGGGCTCGGGCCTTTCACACTGAACTGGGGACTCCGCCGCATGTCCTGGCACAAAAGCAAGACACAAGACCTGCGGCACAAGGATGAACAAGGACTCCTTGGTGGCAGCTGAGCTCACGCCACAGATTCTCCCATTTCAACATAATCACTCTTCTAAAAGTAGTGAAAGCAGTTCAGCTCCGAGGTGGATGTGAATTTGAAAGGCAGGGAGGGGTGACATGAAAAAAGGAGTAAGAAATACAGACGACTCTTAGCCTGATTCCATGAAGAAGGGGGCTTACACCATCACACTGCCTCCCCCTCCTCATCCCTCCATTTAGTTTTGTGCCAACCGATCTCTTTCAGACCAAATAGAAGGAAGAATAAAAATAATATTTAAGATTACCACACATTTCCTTTCAGAAAGAGAAGCAGAAAGACTCATCAGGGCTGAGGTCATTAGTGCTGCCAACCCCAGCATCTGCTGCAGGAGGGAGCTGGGCACCACGGGCACCCCGGGAGAGAAAAGAACAGAAAACAGGGATGAGTTGGGATTTTGCAGCATGAGGTGTGGGGGTGTGTGCCTCAGGAAATCAGTTTAACTGCTCACCAAGTATCCAAACAAGGAAAAATTAATTCTTATCGCATGGTGGAAGACAGGCTGCTGCACGTCTGAAGGGTGGAACTCACCTGCTGCTTTCCTGTGGAGGAAAAAAAAAAAAAAAAAAAAAAACAAACAGAAGTAAGTTCACAAAACTTATTTTTATTATTTGAAATTGGAAAAAGCTCCTTGGGTAACAATGATCATGTGTAAAAGTAACACAGGCATTTTGCTCAGCTTTCTGATACCTGGGATGAAGTAGGCCAAGTGCTGCAAAGTCACATCTGGCTTTTATACAGCCCGTTCCTCTCAAACCCACAAAGACAGGGACAGGCAAAACCCCCTCCCCTCGGACAGGGCAGCAGACCGGGCAGGCGAGTTCTTTAAATTACAGTTATCATGTTCTGCATGGATGTGTGTGGCATGAAACTGAGGTGTTCAATGTCAAATGGCATTTTAGAAAGAAAAGCTCACCTTTTTGCTCTGCACTACCCTCTGTATGAAGCAGGGAGCTGGTGTTTCACCTTTCTTTTGAGTAAGTACCAAGGGGTACTTTAGAGAGACTTATTTACACTCAAAGCCTAGAGGAGATACCCAGATTAATCCACTGTTGTCATGGTAAAGTTGTGAGTGCAAAATACACACAGGAACAGGGTACACCTGCTTAGGGGAAGTAGGAGTATTAATCAATGAAAAAAAAAAAGTGCAGATTGCTTTAATAAGCTAATGAACACAGTCAATCCGAGTGCTCTTTTCCTCAAAAATTAAAAAGACTGCAATCCAAACAAAAAACCAGAATCATACATTTCAATTCAGCGCACACACACACGAAAAAAAAAACGGTCAGTGGCACTCACAGTTTGGTAACTTATCTTCCACTCCACCGCCTGATCACACATCTCAAATATTTCACTGTCCAACTGGTAAGTTAGGCTGTCCGTCTGGCCCACAGCGAAGGCCAGCACGCAATCCTTTGGCAGCCGAACACAACAGAAGATTATTGGCCACGTGAGCAACCAGCTACAAAACAGAGTTAATAGATTATCATTTCCTAAACTAGCAAATCGAGATTATACAACCCATTTCCACACAACACTCAACACTCCCATTAAGTTCCACTAGTTTTAAATTAATAAAAAGCAATAAAAAGTCATCCTTGTTTAAAAGTAAACACTGAGCCAGCTGCATTTTGTTTTTTTCCTGTAGCTTACACCTCCAAGCGAGGTGGATTTGCTTTCTCCCCAACACAAGTTTCCCAACTAACTGCCATCCGACCTCTGCTGTCCCCCTCCAGCGTAGCCGTGGCAGTACCACACTGCTCACTCCAAAGGAAAGCTGACAGCCAAAGGTACAAGTAATTCTGTCCCTTTTCCTCCTCCATAAAAAAAAAAAAAAAAAAAAGCAGTGAGGCTCCTACAACCACAACGCCTGATCACAGAGTATTTATAGCTATGAAATCAGGCCCAAGGCAAACAAACTGGCTGGATGAGGATCTTTGATGCTTCTGTTTTCCAGCTGGCCAAACCCATGTGTTTTCACAACACAGAAAGCATGATCTAGAAGCAAAACACAGCCTGAGCACGTAAGCCAGTCACTGGCTTATTGCTCCTGAGCTAGAATTAAGCCCTAGGCCTTGCTGCGGCTATTGGGGCAATTGCTGCTCTGCAACTTCACTGCAAGCACTTTTGTTTATTCCAAAAGGCGTCTGCCAAGAGAGTATTCCTACCCCTGACAAGTTGTTTTCCATCCTCCTCAGCACTTTCCACCCATCTGGGACCAAGAAATAAAGCCAACTGCCCCCACGATTTTCTACGGAGTGAACAGGATGAGGACACGTCGGCACCAGAAATTTATCACCCTCTGCGAGGCACTGCCACGGCCACACCTTATCCCTGTCAACAGCTCGCAGAAATACCCCCACAAGCTGGCCAATGAGGGCTCAGGAAACAAGCAGAATGTGCACCGAGACATACTGCGCAAGGGGGGGGGACAGCTCGTACCAAACATGAGCAAGTACAGCAAAATACTGAATTGTCAGCACTGCTGCCCACGGGTACCACGAGGGAAGGCAGGAGTGGGGCTGCGGTTGCATCCGCCTCGGCCATGGGTGATGCTCAGATCCAAGCTGCCTGCACTCCTCTGGTCTCCCTTTCCCTCTCCCAAAGCCTTCCGAGCTGCAAGCTATAACTCCTCATCGTGTCGTTCTGCTTTCTCTGAACGCACTCGTGTAGCCGTGCACAAAGGAACCTGCAAAGGCACAGGAGCACCCGGAGCATTTAGGCCAGTCTCCTCAAATTCACCATCTTAACGGCTGTCTTCAACCTAAGCCAAATCAGAGGGAATTTTCTTCTGAAATGCCACAAAAGCCTGCCAGGCTTTGAGGAGCAGAAGGTGAGAAGAGAAGGAAGAGGAGCATTAATAAAAAATTTGCTGTTTTCATTGCCTTTGCTTTAGACAAAATAAAGCCATGGTGTATGAGCAGTTTTGCCTTTAAATCAGGACTAGCACATTCTGACATTTTGAGGCCTATCAGGTATGCTATAAATAAAAAGATGCTACTACAGGGTCAAAGCTGAGCTGTGAAAAGATCCTGCAGGGCTCCAAGCCTCTGCAAAGCCCTTCTCTCCAGCCAGCCAAGCAGGTCTCGCTGTCAGAAGGGAAACCTTTAACGCTGCCACTGAAAAGGTTTGGAAGGGACAAGCTACAAGCAGAAGAACCATCTTAGCCTGGAGAAGAGCAGATGCACCACCTGTGCCAACAGTCAGCAGGTCCTTGTCCAGGTGACAAAGATCTGTACCACCCAGTACCGAGAGAAACACTCTCGCCAACCACTATCCATGGGCTTGCACTCCCCAGCAGACCCCTGGTATCAGGGGGAATTTAAGCTACAGGTTTACAACTACTAAAAGCATTTTAGGACAGAGCAGTAGAACATATCTACACCACCTTTACACACTCAGCCAACCCAACACAGAAGGTTGCAGGGAGAAGACCAGCTACAGAGTCAGCGTCTGTACTTACGAGTGACTCGGGTCTCAGGCCAAGTGCCTGTAGTGCATTCATACAGTCTGGATTTTCAATCTTAAAAAACAAAACAACCATCAAGTCAGTTATGCAAAACTTCAGGATTTTTACTTTTTTGGGTGAGTGGGGACACTGAAGGAAGGAGGAATTGACAGAGCTATGGATCCGTCTGCAGCTGAAGCAGAGCTGATTTTAGGGCCAAGCGACTGCAACAGCCGCCCAAGGGGACCTCTCACACCCCTTTAGGCTGTTGCAGAGAATACAAAGCAGCCAACATACTGGCTGCACCAGCCTAACAACAAACTCCAAGATAAACTGGCCACCCAGATGCCAAACAGACTCCTAATGTCTTTAAGTATCACAGAAATCCATCATCGAGCTGGAAACCTCTGTCTCCAAGATTAAGCACACGCTCTTCTCCTGCGCACAGCCCGGCAGCCGCAGAGAAAGGCCGAGATGCCCGATTTGAGCTTCAGCTCACCCCTCTGCCCACACACCAAGGCTCACAGAACTGCCACCCTTCCTCTCTCCCAGTCCCACGTGATGGGGTGAGATCCAAGTCAGCTTCTCCCTCTGCTGATGCCAACAGCAACTCCCCTAACAGGCTGCTCAGAAACAACCTACTTTTTATAGCTTATTCACTAGAATGGTAATAGCACTTCAGATCCTCACCTCTACCACTGAGGCAGGTTTTCCACCACTGACAAAGCAGCAGGAAACAAAGGAAAAAAGTGCCCCAAATCACCTTCAACATCCCAGAGGTTTGTAAATCTATATCCAAAGAGACAGGAATTAATCCTGTGAGCGACGTGACCTTCTCCTCAAAGTCTCTGCTGGAGACTCAGTTCTCGCGCAGCTTGAGGGAACGTTCGAGAGCTAGAAATGGCAAAAGGCCCCCGTCAGAGTGAGAATAAAAGCTGCTAGCAGTCAGTGAAACTATGCAGTCACTGAAACTCCTCCATAGAAGGGGCCTGAACCCTCCCAACCCACGTAGAGACACATTTACAAACCAAAATCTGCAGAAAATGTAGAGGCAGAGTTCTGTTAAGACACTGATCTGGCTGGTAGCAGGAGAGAAGAAACCTGGGAGTTCATCATCACAGCCAGAGAACAACTGCGACCACGGATGTATTTTGCTTGTAACCAAGAGCTTCCTCACAAACAGCTCTTTTCTCTTCACACAGGGATCCCTACCACCTCTTCCCACACAGGACTAATAACACTGCTGATGGTTTACAGCACAACTCACAGTCTGTAGATCAGCACTGGCCGGGATTTTCCTGCAAAGGACAGTCTATGGGGAATCTGCTTCCTCGCCTGCAGGAGCTCAGATCTGCCCCACAGAATGCAGGTGTCATGGAAAGAAATTAAGCCCAGGAGCTTTCTGTGGAAGCAGCAATCGTCTGGGATGAAATAAGTGCAACTAGAAAGGGAACAGAAGGGTCCTGTGAGCGGAGCAGCAGCACCCACCTGTCGGTACCAACTGTAAAAGGTGCCAGAACAAGCCACAGCAATATGAGGAGAATCTCTCATCGCTCCTTCAGACTGCGCAGGGTAACCCGATACGAGAATGATAACGTAACTGGGGTCACATCAGTACCAGTGACACACGGCACCTTCTGCTGCCCATCACAGACAGGAGTCAGCAGGCTGCAGTTGGGCTTATTTCACACTTGGTTTTCTTTTTTCTCCTTCTTTTACATTTTCAGGCCCACTTTAAAATATCTGAGGTGAACCTTTCAGGTACAAACCCAATCTGGATGCACCAGCTTCTGCAGTTTACACTCATTTCTAACAGTTCCATACCCAGCTTCTGTAAGGAAAAAGAATCATCTCCTCTATGCTCAGGGGAACACCCAGACCTGGAGCCCCAGGGACAGCACATCCATCAAGCTCCAGAAGCCAGGGCAAGGCTACACACACTGTCATTTACAGTGGGAATCCTCCCCTTGCTGCCAAGCTGAGGGAATTTCTCAAGGAAACCACCCACTTCAATTACTAAGCCAAGGATACAGATATTACACCAGCCTCTCTTGACAACGCTGCACCCAGAGAAAGGTTTCTGGAGAGGAGGACGTGCTTTGTCACTGCTGACACAATTTATCATTAAAAAGCCAGCAGCCGGGGACCGCACAGGTTTTCAGGAGGGTAAAGCAAGTCTCCCAGGAGGACAGATCAGCCTAGAGCACAGCAAAGGCTTAAACAAGTCCCTTCCCTGAAGAAAAGCCACAGGAGACTGCTAACGGTCAGAGCAGAGGGCTTGTGTCCATCCAGACAATTACATGTTCTTCTGATCCAGCTCTGACCTCGAGTTATTTTTGTTCCAATACATTCTTTTTGCAGTAAGAAAAGTCTGTTTCCTCCTCTGCAGGATCCCTTCAGCTATACAAAGCTACGTTACAGGCTGAGTAACAAGGACTGCTAGGGAGCAGTGTGGAGCGGCAGGGAGGAAAGGGCAGTCATGGATATTTTAACCGGGATGTGTACATTTGGGGTAAAAAGGCTTTATTAAAAGTGCATGCTTTTATTCAGAGGTACCGAGAGCAAGGAATGCCCATCCCAGCCCTGGCTGGGGAGTGCAGCAGCCTTTGCAACCCCTAGCCCTGTCCATCACAAACCACCTGTCAAGTAGCCAGTGACTGGATGTTCTTCAGCATTTCATCAAAAGCCTCTCGGGAAGGCGCTTCGGCGTTCTGGAAGGAGACCTTGATCCGGCTGTAGAGACTGAAGGACTTCAGCTCCAGCCAGATGAACCCAAAGCGATCGTCATCAAAGAGAACAAAAACACCCGGCGTACGCTCGGGGCTGGTGAAGCCGTGGCCAGCAATGAGCCCCGTCCCATAAAAACTGCGAGGAGAGAAGAACAGCAAGAAGATGTGAGAACCATCATAATTACCCAACATTTAATAATAATTAAAAAAACCCCACACAAAACTATGAACAAAACCTTGTCAAACACACTGCCAGGTGTTACAGAACGGGGAGTTTTACACTCCGTTCTTAGCACTCAGCACAAAACAGTGTCACTATCATTTTAAGAAACTAAACTCTCCACTGCTATTTGAGGTTGCTGCTTTGGGCTATTCTAATTAGCACCTGCACACCAAGACTGAATTTTTCTGTAGTTCAGACCAGTAATCCATCTGAGATTCACTTCTGCAACTCAAGGAGGATCAACCCAGGCCCAGACAATCCTCACAGAAAAGGAAAGGCACATTGGAGAGTGACCAGAGAGGCAAACCTTGCAATAAAACCCACAGGAAGGGAGAGAAAGAAAAATCTAAAAAAAGAAAAATCTAACTGGAGCTGGGGAGGAGTAAAGGTCAACCTAACCTCTAAGCAAGCAGCAGGTGGAGCAGGGTTTTATTCAAACACAACTCGGTTGTGACAGCAGGGGCCTTCTGGGATTAACCAGCTATTGGTAGGATTTTTCCACAAGCACAGATGTTTGGCTGAAGGTCACCTGCCTAAGCCTCAGCTTTTGGGCTCTTTTTCCACACTTCATTTAGTATGTTGCTTCACTGACTCCAGGTCTCATTCAACAAGACTCTTTGCATACCTGCACCTACTGCTTAGGGTGCTCAGCACCTTCCAGAGCTGGCCTCAAGGTACCAGAGGCCAGAGAGGGCTGGGAGAGAGGACTGTGTTCCCACAGCCAACAAACACAAATGACACACACAGGAACGGGAAGCGGCTTGAACAGATCTCCAAATATACAGGCTGGGAAGCTGTGGGAAACAAAACATACCATCAAGTCAGTTATGC